AATACAAGGTCGCAGAGAACCATCCTTCTTCCCTACAAAAAAGAATCCCGCCCCCGCTGGAGAAGAGGAGGGGCGAATGAACTTAGTTGCTAGAGAATCAGAAATATATTTCTCCATAGCCTCCCTTTCTGGAACAGAAAGTGAATATAACTTGCCCTTAGGCGGAGACGTACCTGGCAGTAAATCTATAGCACAGTCGTAAGGACGATGCGGAGGAAGAGAAGCAGCCCGGGACTTACTGAACACTTCCTTCAGGTCTAGATACTCCGGTGGCACGTTAGACAGGTTCACTGGCTCCTCCTGCAACACAGAACGAGAAACAGACGGAACAGCAGACAAAAGACATGAGGCATAACATTTCTCACTCCAACTGGACACAGAGTTCTGTCCCCACTCTATCCGGGGTCCGTGTCTCACCAGCCACGGATGACCCAGGACAAGGGGAGCGTGAGGTGACTGAGTGAGATAGAGTGAAATCCTCTCGGTGTGGTTACCCGAAGTGATGAGTGTGACGAGCCCAGTAACGTGAGTGATGCCCGGGAGTTCCTGTCCATTTAGTGCGTGGATGGTGATAGGGTGGTCCAAGGCAGTGATGGGGAGGTGAAGCTTGTGGGCCAACGACGAGTCCATCAGGTTTCCCTCCGCTCCTGAATCCACCAGCGCCTGGCCGTTGAAGGAATGGTCTGCCCACTGGAGTCTCACCGGGAGGAGGGTGGCGTTCGAGGGTCTGGTCAAGGAAAGTCCGCCCGACAGTAGCCTCCGTCCTACCGCCGGGCTTGGCCTTTTAAAGGACAGGTGGAAACGAAGTGGCCGGCCTCCCCGCAGTAAAGACACAGACCCCTCGAGCGGCGGTGTTCTCTCTCCTCCCGGGAGAGTCGAGCTCGACCTACCTGCATGGGCTCCGGATCGTTCGAGGAACTGACCGTGTTCGTTACTCTGAAACCGGGAAACTCCGCGACCTCCACCCTCGGAGTCTGGAACTGTCGATTCCCTCTCTGTTGTAGGCGTGCATCGACTCGGATTGCCAGTTCAATCAGTCCATCAAGAGTCTTGGGTAATTCCAGTGTGTAAATTTCCTTCTGAACACGGTCAGCCAGCCCATGCAGGAAAAAGTCCCACTGCGCCTCCTCGTTCCATTTGCACTCGGCGGCCAATGTCCGAAACTGGATGGAATAGTCGGAAACAGAGCTGTTATTCTGACGGAGATCGACCAGATGGCGGGCCGCCTCCCGTCCGGCAACCGCGCGGTCGAACACGCGCCTCATCTCTTGCTCGAGTGCTTGGAACGAGGAGCAGCAAGGGTGTCTATTCTGCCACACCGCTGTTCCCCACTGAGCCGCGCGTCCAGACAGCAGCGTCATAACGAGTGCCACCCTACTCTCCTCAGAGGAAAACGTCACAGGCTGGAGAGAGAAAAAAATAGAACATTTTGTTAAAAACGCTCTGCACAGGTCTGGTTCCCCAGAATACCTCTCCGGGGTGGGGATGCGCGGCTCTGGTCGGTTGACGTTCGGAGACTCCGGGGGAACAGGCGGGGGCGGGGCTGGCGCAGCGGGACCTCTCAGACGTTGTATTTGAGAGGTGAGCTCAGACACCTGTGTTACCAGAGCCTGTATCGCCCGACCCGAGGATCCGATCTGTTCATCTTGTCGATCCATGCGGGCGTGGTTCTCGGCGACCATCTTCCCGACCTCGGCTGCACTCGCTGAATCCATGTAGGTGGTCAGATGGTTCTGTCACGGCACGAAAGAACAGTCGTGGATTCAATCGCGAGTGAATACAGGTGTTTATTAAACACAAGGTAGTGGCAAACAGTGCAGTGGATGACAGACAGGCGACCGAACCCAGGCTCGGTAACACAGGACTCCGTGGGCAGACGGCAAGGCAGGAACAGTAGAATCCTCTCAGAAACGGGCAGATACCACAGAACAGGAACAGTCTCTGGAAGCGGCTGCAGCTTCCCAGAACGAGGCGGAGACACCAGATCAGGCACGGACTGGATACGGCTGACGCTCCTCAGAACAGGGCAGAGTCCAAATAACAGGAGAAACAGACACTGGGCAAGGAGAAAGGACGGTGAGTAATCCGTGAACCTCAACAACCATCTGACAGAGACCAGACAACATGACAAACAATATATAGGACATTCTCATTCAAAACAGCTGGCGCTGATCAGCTCATCAGCGGAGATAACGAGCCGTGCTGATGAGCCGCGCCCATTCACACAACACGCACACACCTAGCGAGGGCGAGTCAATGAATCCATGAACCGTGACACAAGTTCGTTATTTCAAATGTAGGTGCGCTCGTTTTTTCCAAGCGCGTGCGCGCCGCATCGAGATAAAATCATCTCAACTTTTCAGAATGCCGCAAGCGCACCGTAGCTTAGCAACGACAGACGCCTACGGAGCGCAACCGCGCTAGCGCTTTGGAAAAAGGAGAACGCGGCGCGCCTAGCGTTTTCTACGCGTTTTTGGGCGCTAAATGTGAATTCAGCCTTATTTAATTATTTCTGCACATGTATAGTGTCTCAGGCAAATTACTGACTTTGCAGAAATCAAAGCAAACCTTCTTATCAACCTGCTGGACATATATTACAAGCTCAAAATGATTATTCTCACATTGTTTTAGAGCAGGGGTCTCCAACACGTCGCTCGCGAGCTACCAGTAGCTCGTGGCATGTTCACATATCGTGCTCACATATTTTGCTTGCTCAAGTTCGTTATTTCAAATGTAGGCGCGCGGCAAGCGCGCTCATAAGCGACGCGCTCATTTTTTACAGGCGCAGTAAGTTTGTACTTCGCGGTTGTCTATGACAACTATTGACAACAAACCCACCGTAAGCTGTAATGAGACTATGGTAGCCCAAAAGGGATAAAAAAATATATATATATTTTTAAAACGCGGCACACGCAACGACGGGCCGCACTAACATTAAACTTTAATGTCAAGTAGGGGGCCACAAAATATCACCCCGCGGGCCGCGAGTTTGAGACCACTGCTTTAAAGGGATAGTTCACTTTAAAATAAATTTTTGGTATGTTTTAGCTTACCTCAAGGGCATCCAAGATGTAGGTGTCTTTTTTTCCGCAGTAGTTTCACTTTTGATATTTTTAGGTCAAACCGTTCTTGTCTGTCAGTCATATAATGCAGGTCTATGGTCACTTCCTCAAAGAGCATGCACAGAGAAGTCCAAATTAAACATGATTTAATGACTTGTAAATGTAAGTACACATTGATGGCCTAAGACACGAAACGAGCGGTTTGTGTGAGAAAACGAACCGTATTTATATCGTTTTTACCTCTTGTAAACACAGCCACATCCAAGTGATCTGAGGGCGCCGGCGCTTCGGTCTTTTCCGGAAAGCGCCGGAAGTGATCTCTCGCGCGTGTACGTCACTCATACAATTGTTTTATTTATTTATTTTTTTATTGTTTTCTTTTACGACAGTTTAAACATTCCAGATAAGCGCAAACTAGTACCATTTTAATTAGCCATCTTACCTACAATTTCTGTTCTGTGTAAACAATGAGTGACGTACACACGCGAGAGATCACTTCCGGCGCTTTCCGGAAAAGACCGAAGCGCCGGCGAATAATTTCAAAGTGAACTATCCCTTTAAGGGAATATGGCCAGGGGGTCCAAAGGAGTCCCGTCCAGTCACTTTCTGAGGGGGACATGAAGTCAACCCCACATGCCACCAGGGAGGCTGACCTGGTCTAATTTATGACCTAGTCTTGCCAACAACCTGTCTGTTTCCTAAACAGAGGCTCTAACATATTTTGCCTCACTTGTGGAGGCATCCGATAGGGAGGACTGCAGATAGTGGCAGTGATCGCTCACAGACCGGATCATAGAGACGGGCATCCTGGAGAGTAGAACTCAGCATTGCGCTTTCTAACCCTTGCGAACGAGGGGAGTAACTCTACCCAATCCTGGATCTACGCAGTGCTTTAAAGCCATGTGGAGGATGGGCACTCTGAAAGGGACCCTAATAGGGGAGCGCCTCCAGCTCTAGGGCTGATCTAACAGGGAGGCCTCGTGAGAGTCCTTCGACCTTCCGACCAGACTTAGGGAGCTGAGTATTCATACAGAACGATCCTCGGATAGATTCTGAAACACTATACTCAAAACCTGATAAGTATTGACCAGGCTCTGGGCTAGGTTTTGCCTTTGCAATGCTAAGCATCCAACTCGTTGAGTGAGTACGAATGAAATGTTGGCCAAGCAAGTGAATGAATGATCAGTACGTCAGTGAGTGATTATAAAGAATTTGGAATTCTAAATGAAAGTTCTGGAGGACTGAGTGAAAGAGAAATTAAGTGAATGAGTGGTATGAGGATCTGTAATTAGAGAAAATACATTGATAAGGTTGTGGTGAAACCTCAATGCTGTTGGAATATGGATATGATGAACCTTCATATGAAGTTGTCCATGTGGTTTTGACTAAATGTGTTCATAAAATTCTAATTATGAGAAGTATTTGAGAGTAGGCCATTAAAATAATAAAGATCATTCAAAATAACAGGAAAAAATTATTATGGAATCTTTTAAAACACCCAAAGTATAGGTTAACAACATTAAACATCATCCTTTAGACGGCTCTCTTCGCCTGTACTTCTGAATTTGGATTACTCTTATATTGTGGCATTTAGATTTTCTCTTCAGGAGGTCTTTGTGGAGTTGAAGGCAAATGTTACAATAATCAGGCGCGCCCACGGTGTGTCTATATCTGAGGCCCGTGTCAAATTCAGATCTGAAACTTCACACAATCAGTGCGAGAGAACGCAAACAGAAAGCAGTGAGTCATGCGATTGTGTAAGCTTTCAGACTGTGTATAGAAAGTCCCCTCTTAACAAGGCTGAGAGCAGTTGGTCGTACTGCCGTACACCAGGTCATAGTAAATCATGGCAGAATCTTTAAGTTGGATTGGCATATTTCACAGTACAGCATGGATTTGAGCAACAATTATACAAAGGGACAAGAAAGACATTCTTACTTGGATCTGATTTGGAAAACGTGTCTCTGTCGAGAAGGTTTCTGTAAAAGGAAATACACATGAACAATTATATTTATGCAGGAAGGAAGACAAACTGTGTGTGTTTGGTATGAAAACACATTCCTGTGTGTGTTTGGTATGTGTGTGAAGCATTCAAGAGTAAACAGTATAGTATTGTGTAGGAAAGGACAGATGTAAATTGTAACTTCTTTTTTTTTTACATTCATAACTCACAGACTACTACACATCTACCTGCTACTTCTTCGTAAGAAATATTTGAATTTGGAAAAAGTGTTCTATTAATAGATTTAAAATGAGAAAGACTAATTGAACATACTTTGTAATACAAAATTATTATACACAAAAAAAGTGTATCTAATTGCACATGTATGTCACGTACAGTCTAGAAGATGATGAAAGAGTTCAAACAGGTTTAAATAAAGAAAAGATTTATTAATAAATCAAACGCAAATAATCCGCAAGTTCAAAAGCTAAGAAACGGCATGTAGACACGACACACGAACAACACCAGACAATGAATTGAATGAAATGAGGAACTTAAATACACATGGTGATTGAACTCAATGACGAACAGGTGTCAACTAATTAATCAAAAACCATGGTAACAAGCAAAGAGCGGGAAACTGGAACAAAGGAAAACAGGTAACTGAGGAAAAAACGAACTACGGGTACGTTCACACGACAACGATATGCTTAACCCGGATAAGTTTTTCCTTTGAGTCTTCCGCGTACAGACGACACCATTGTCAAAACGACACATTCACACGGATCCGCGAAAATGACAAAAAACGCTGTATTCTGCTGCCAGGCCATTGGATAAACTCAACAAGGCTTTATTTAATCAAAAATACAATAAATAGTATTAAAGTTTAAAAATAGATGTTTTTCTATTTTTCCAATGCTATTTAAATGTATTTTCAGCAGCCATTAGTGTCAGTGTCAATACTTTTATACTTCAAATCTTCTTTACTGAGCATATACTGAACAAGTGTCATCATCACAACAGCTTGTTCATGATTGAAGAATCAAATAAATTAGAGCATAATAATTTCCGTTCTGTTACACCTGACCCCAGTCTCTCTTCCAGAGTCACTTACACGCAAATATAATGTGTGTCTCGACCCTCACAAGCTAATTACGAAGTACTAACGAAAAGTGACAACCATAGACCACCAGGTTACCTGCAGAAAGATCCACCACAAAATTCACAATAAGACCAAGCCCATATATAATGACATCACAGCCATGACCTCATTAACATGTGACCACCCCTATTTACTTATCCAGTATTCATGAGCTTGGCCTAGGGTGAAATAACATTTGCAGTATTTAGTCAAACATTAAAAAGGTAATTTACATATAGAAGTCTTAAAGGTACAGTATCATGTTTAGAGAGGCTAGAAAAAATCTTGACTAGCATTATAAGTGGACACACATATATAAACGGTGCAGAATATGGGTATTTTAAGGTAGACGTCCAAGGTAAACGTGGCAGGTGCAGCAGGGAAGAGTTGAAGTTCCGCATCTGGGCTTTAGTAACTGTGCATTAGTGCAGGTTTTGAGGTAAATGATTGTGTCAGTGGTGGGTTCTGAAAGTCTGCCCTGTCCTCTTTGATAAAATCTTGAGTTTTTCTGTTCCAAGTGGATAAAGGGATTGTGCTGAGGGGACTGGAAATAAAGTCTCTCCGATCTAGAGCTTACACACAGCCGTTCCATTATGAGGACATGCTTAGTATATCCCTTGACAGCCAAATCCCTGGGAGTCAGGGGACTTCCATTTAGTGTTTTATGTACTTGCCCTTTCACCTGTTCTCTACCCTCAAGGAAAATGACAGATTATTTTCATGCATATGGATATCATCGGTGGTGTTTATGAACACACAGAAAATATATTTACAGTAAATATACTTTTAACGGAATTTTAGCAGCCAAGCAGGCTAATAAACCCGCATGCGATAGTGTGATATAATCGCTTACCAATACTGTTTGTGTAACTATCTTTGTCAATCTTGTCAACGCCAGGTAAAAAGTAAACCTGGTTACTTTAAAACGAAAGGGACGTCACATCAAGACTTACTCTTCCTCTCTTATTTGGGTATAATAACAGGGGAAATTACATAAGTCTCATCTATCTCCTGGTATTTTTATGATTTATCTAACTATCTATCTATTCATCTCCTGGTCTATTTATGTTTTACTTTTGGAACTGTGAGGTTGGTTATTTTAGTTGTTTATTTATTTATTATTGTATGGATGACACATTTTCAGGTCAATTGTGCATGTTGTATAGGCATTAAACTGAGGAACCCAATAAAATAAATAAAATAAAATTAGTAAGTCACATACTATGCGTAAAGCACTGGCATTCTGGCTTCAGAAAATCATACTACCATATTGATTCTTGTATTAAATCAAATCAAATAAAATGGTATAACTGAAGTAATCAATATGAACAAAAATATGAATTTCACACTACACCTTTAAATCCGGCTAGGGTTCCATTGTAAGTGTAACACTGTTTTAACACTTTTTCCTGCTCAGTAAATATATACATTAAATCGACAAGAACCCAGAATTCTCCTTTTAATTAATCTGTGATTCCGGGCAGCTGCACACTTGGGGTTACATCACGATGGTTGCAGGGGTCAGGGCGCGCTCGATAAGGGCTTCCACCTGACATGCTAATAAAATTGACACACGCTTCAAGGAGTTTTCAGTGGAAAGGATGATAAACGCATAAAAACAGCTCTTTCTCTCAGCTGTAATTTCCAGTGGGTGGGTGAATGTTCCTGGCAAGCTGACGAAGGGGAAAGACCTCAAGGACAAGAAGGCGAGAGAGAGAGAGACAGATGGGCAAAGAGAATGAGAGAGGGAGACAAGAAGACATTGAAGGAGAGTAAACGGACATACACGGAGGAGGAATTTACTAATAATGTATCTGATAACAGCTCTGTTTATTTGCAAACACTGTCACTAAATGCAATTTGTGCTGCGTAATTCCCAAACTTGCATTATAGCATAGCTTTCCATCATTTGATCATTATTTAAAATGTGTTAATGATTTATTGTGCACTGACACTTAGTTGAGCTGGATGAAGATATTGATGACTATTGAATATGTTACTTGCCAATTAGTTGTAATTATATGTGAAATTTACTTGTGAAAATTGTGTCTACATATATTTTTTTTTTCAGTGTAGAATGATAACAATAATCAAAACGTTATAGTTAACGTTATAGTTACCATCCTTGGTGTTGATGGACCCTAATATGTTTACAATTTCAAGTTGCATAAATTAACATAAGTTAAAGTATTATTAAAGACCAAGAATTAACAATACACATAGAGTGTATTTATAATTGATCAGTGACATGGATAAATAAAGACTATAAATATTTGTAGTCCAGTGCTTGTTTATTAAATAATGGCAATTAATTCAACTTTATTGTACAGTTTTATCAATCAAATGTATGTGTGTGCGTGTGTGAATTTGGTAGAAAATTAGCATGAGAACATTTTCAGTGTTGGGGGTAACGCATTACAAGGAACACAAGTTATGTAATCCGATTACTTTTATCAAGTAACTAGTAAAGTTACCTTTTAAAAAAAGTAACACAAGTTAATTTGTTTCCCATTTTTTGATTCTACACTGTGTGAAGATGATGCTTATTGTAGTTTAGACTAAATGTGAGCATTTACTCATCGAACTTGCACAAAATCAGATTCAGTATTCCTCAAAATGAATAAAAACAGTGAAATGCAAACTCAGAAAGAATATTACGCAAACCTGCAATTATTAAAGATGTTAAATAATACAAATATATGCATTTAATCTCACTTTATTAACCAATGTCTTTGCTGCTGACCTTCGATGATCCAATTCAACCATACGAATAAGCAAAAATTACATTAGTCAAACCACATTTGTGTTTCTTTTTGTTTATTTCATAATAGTAAGGCCCTGTGTCCACCAAATTATTTTTTCACACGGCTGGCGTACAATGGTTGCGTTTTTAAACCGGCAGGAGCGTAACGAGGCGCTGAGCGTCTTTTTCACGCTAAAGTGCTGAGCGCTTGCCGTTTTTTAACGGTCGCCGATTTGAAGAATGTTCAACTTTGGGTAAAACGCAGCGGTTATCACTGTCATTTTTTACCCAGCCGTCCAATCACAGTGGAGGAGGGGTGGGACAAATACCACACTGACCAACCGTCACATTCTACTTGTACAACGTCAGCAGATGACAACATCAGGCATAATAACGGAAGTAAAAATAATTTAAAACAAGAGCCAGAGCAAAATCTTTTACAATGTATCGACATTTTTATATATAAACAACACAGAAATAGAACTATCTGTTAAATGAGACTAATGAGACTGAGTGAAACCTAACACTTCCGCGGATAATATCATAGCAAGCAAAGCATCTCAACCGTTTTTTTTTTTTTTGGAGTAACACAATGGGCCCTATTTTAAGGATCTAAGCACATGGTCTAAAGCGCACGGCGCAATTGCACTTAGGTCGTGTCCGAATCCACTTTTGCTAGTTTAACGACGGGAAAAAGGGTCGTTTTCAGAAACAGCACACCCATGGGCGCAAATGCTTTTGCTATTTAAACAACATACAGCAGGACGTAAAAATGATAAATGCGTCGGGCTGAAACTAGCAAAAAATACTTGTCGTGCCTGGCGCTGCATTGCGCCGGGTGTATGATAGGGCCCAATATAATCAATTACAATTTTACTTTTCAAAGTAACTTCAAACACTGGTTGTTAATGAATGAGACTTACTCATATGGTAGCATTAGCTTCTAGTTAAACCAGATTGCAGATGGTTTTGTGTTGAAATACTCCATACGAAACAGTCACAACCATTTATTGAATTCACCCTAGAGGTACGTGTCTTAACCAAATAATCTGCCAATAGATTGAGCGACACTGCAAAAGGTTTCTAACCCGGGTGGCATCAAAAGTGCAACGTGTACTCCAGTCAAAGTGTAAATAACAGGGCAAGAGGGAGT